AAGGACCGAGAGGGAATTTTAATAAAACCGAAAGGAGGAGAATAATGGATCTTCCAGGATTTATTGTGGACTGATGTGGATATATTCTGTACAGAAACAATCAGACAAACAAAAGCGCTGAAGCTGAACTGAACCTTGTGTAGAAAGAGAAAACAAACAAACAAGAAAGGAACCCCACACGCAAACACTTACCACGAACATTGTTACTCATTTTGTAAAATATTAGTCTTTATTTTCATTTTTTGTAAAACTTAAAACATCGTATGCGCATAAAGGAAAAAAAAAAAGAAACAAGAATTAGGGGAAAATAACATTTTCCAAATAATTATAAAAAAAAATGTCCTGTGTCTATGTATCTATATCTGTTTTGTATTTTTTTCTGGTTCCAAACCAGGTTTTCTGTGATTCTATACTAATAATTTTTGATATAACCCTTTGCTTCTTATAATGAGTGCGATATATGTTGTCGAAGCTGTTCTTCAAGAATTAAAATTGAAGTGAGAATTTAAACAAAAATAAAAGAATTTAGCAAAAAAAAAAAAAAATCAACTCATCACCCCACAACCCGTGAGTCTTGTTGCTTGAAACATGCCAACAGTTCACCGAAAAAAAAAAGTAAAAAAAATGCAAAAGTACTCCCTCGATTTTTAACTTCTACGCTGGCGTGACAAGGGAGAAGTTAAAAACACTTGCCAGGGGTAACCAGGCTCTATAGCCCAAGTGCTGTTCCCAGCCTGGCCGGCCAGGCCCAGGCAGAGCACAGGGAACCGAGGCTGGACAGGAGGGTTTGGGCCAGCGCTTACGGGCGGATTGCCCCCGTCTGCACATTTGGAAACCCCTTTTTTCCCCCGTTTTGTCCCCCTACCCCCTCAGTCGGAGGGGGTGAACCTTGCGCTCTCAGGCGTGGGTTGAAGTCGCTGTGTGGCGCGATTCAAATCACGGCGCCTTGACACCACCTTATCCGTTTCCTATAGGCTTGAAGGTGCTGTTCTGTTTGTCTGCTTGTGGGTTTTGTTGTTGTTGTTATTGTTTCTTTCCCCAGGGACTCGAGGCGCCACGCGTGGGTTTCGCGCTGGGCGCGCGCGTGGGGCGCTGCCCACCGTGCCGCGACCACCCCGGGCCCTGTGCAGAGGGGTTCCCGGTCCCTGCGCGCCCAAAGCCACGGCGTGGGCAGCGAGCGCGTGTCCCTCGCGTGCGCAAAACACGCGTGGCAGCTGTAGGTGCGCACAAGCCACGGGGAGGGACGCAGCGGGGCCAGCGATGAGTGCGGAAAGGCCAGGGTGGTTTGGGTTTGTTTCTCTTCCCTTTTTATCCCCCCTCCTTTTTTTTTCTTTTTGGTAGAGAAAATTAAAAATCGCTGCTGTAATGGAGCTCCTTTGAAGGTGAAGGCTTCACAATGCTGCTAGCTGGTGGTGCAGATCTCTGTAACAGCTTTCAGTGCATTAATGTTTTATAGGATCTGAGACGGAGCTGTAAGAACACATACTACCAAGGGAGCTCTTTCTTAACGTATTAATAAAGCTGGATCTTTAAAAATAACATACCCCCCCACACACAGACACCTCCCGCGCCCTCCAAACAAACCCGGATGAGGCCAGCTTTTCAATCCGCGGAGTCACTGGCTGTTATTTTGCTGTCCTCCATACTCTCCAGATTTTTTTTTTTCTTTTTTGCATTAACAAGATCCTTCAATCCAACCCGCTTGGGGTTTTTAATATTCCAGGCGCAGCAGATCCGAGGCGAGAGCGGCCCTATACAGTAGGCACTTATAGCTGGATAATCAACATCGTGGGCAGAGCCTCCATGTGGGTAGAGGCCGTCTCACTATATGGAAACGCGGCCTGTACCTCTGTCCATAGGTGCTGTGTGGCGGGCAGAGGGGACTGTGGGGAGCGGAGGCTTCAAACCTGGGCCCACAAGGACACCTCCAGTTCCCTTCGCTGCTCCCACGGGCGCTATAGGCGGCACTCGTGTCCCTCACACGGGCGCGGGGGTCCCCGGGACTGCTCGGCCCTCAGAGGTGCTAAAGTAACTCCTGAGCGATGCCCTAGGGTGGGACAAGGAGCTGGGGACCTGTGAGGGGAAAGTTGGGGTGGGAAAGGGGACGAGACAAAAGAAAAAATAAAAAACAATAAAAAGCTCTCGGTTTCTTCCAATGAGATGTAAATATATTCATTAAAGTGTTATCCCACTGATGAAAACAGATAAACTTTTTTCGTAGGTCAGAAACATATTTTTCAATTAATTTTCATATTTATGAATAATAATAACCCACTGATTGCCAAGAAACTTGCAGGTGTAGAGGAGGTGTACGAGATGCACTTATTTCCATGTATGTGCCTAGAAAGAAGTGTTTCAAACCCTTATTAAACTTTGCTTATAAGATGGTATCGTGTTCTGAAGTGTTAAATATCCAGTCTCTGTCGTGGTCGTGGATGTTTTCCTTTGCCACACTCCCAGCTCCTGGGCAGTCATACGGTGGCTCAAAGAAAAAAATATATGTAAAGAGAGAGAGAGAGTATGATTTTGTCATATGTTAAAAAAAAAAAAAAAAATGTGGCGAGAGGCCAGGTCCCCCGCGCTAAGTTTCTGCTGACTTGTTCTTAGCTACAATACACTGTTTGGAAACCCGCTCCGGTTACATTTCTCCTGCCTTGTTATCGCTGCGAGCCCGCTGCGCCGGCCGCGCTGCGCGCAGGCTGCGCCCGCCCGGGCTGCCGCTCCGCGCGGGGAGCGCTTCCAGGGAGGGGAGGAAAAAGAGGGATGGAGAACATGGTGGGAGGCAAAAAAAAAAAAAAAAAAAAAAAAAAAAAGTAGAATCAGGCAAAAGCGGCCTCGCAGCCCAGCCGAGCAACAGGACTGCTTGTCCTCCTACCGCTCCGTCTGTGCCACACGTTGATCCCAAGGAACGCGTGGAGAGGCTCGTAAATGCCAGCCTGGAGCAGGAGGGTGCGGAGAGGGGGTCGTGGGGGAGGACGTCCCGTTGGCGGGCCGCGGCCGCCTCCACCTGCAGCGGGGAGAGGTGCCCGCATCCCTCGGGATTAACCGGGGTTTTAAAGGCGGGAGGGAGGGAGATTCCACCGTAAGTGACCTTTTTCATTGCACACTTAACACCACTAAAAGCAGCGAGCTTCAGAAATGAAGCGAGGTCTGCTATATGGAGAAAAAAAAAAAACTCTTTTACTGTCGAATAAATAATAATGGGTCTTATACGGAAAGCGTTTTATCGAGAGCCTATGGTGTGGGATCATTTTAAGTGACAGCGAAAGTAATAAAAGAAAAGTAAATTCTACTTCGTTCCATGTGAAGGAAACTCAGTTTGGCTCCATGCACAAACAGAAATGTATATTTTAGCAGATGGAAAGGACTTAAGACAAAGTCTTTGCCTTAAAAAAAAATTACCTGTGACATATGAAAGTCAGGCGTTCCCTTTCCAACAAAAACACTCGGAGAACTTCAACTCCTCTGAAGTGGGTTTGCACTGGTGTAGATGCAGGAGCAGGCTCCGCTCGTAGAGCAAAAGGGGTCTTGGGGACGGTGCCCCGAGCAGAGCCCGCACATCGGCGGAGGGCACGGACGGACAGACGGACAGGAGGACGGAGGGACGGACGGGGCCGGGCTGCGGGGCGGCAGCTCCAGCAGCACCAGTGACCCAGGGCAGAGCCACGGAGAAACAATGTCTCCTAATGACATGTGCACGGCTATTACCCGCACTGTGCATGTGTTTCCTCGGGTTTCATGCAGTATCCTGACTATTCAAAGGGTTAGTTTTTAAGTCCTGAAATAAAGTGGCCTTTTTTTTTTTTTTTTTTTTTCCCTGGCAAACTCGATCCTTAATCCTGTCTACTTTGAGTTTTATTGGGAGAGATGAGACTCAGTCTCCTCCTCTTCCCACTTTTTTTTCCAATTCGTTTCCACTGGCACGGGACTAATTTTAGAAACGACAAGATCGCCACAAAAATATATATATTTGTTTTAAAGGGCTCCTTTTCTAATTGGCTTCACAGTCACTGACTTTGACGTGAGATCCCCCTATCTCCCCCGCCTCTTTAATCCCCAGCGGGTCAGAGTCGCCGAGGATGATTTTTTTTTTTTCCTTCAGTGATTCTGGGGGGCAGTAAGAGCGATAAATACAAACACTGCAAAGCCCCGAGTCCTGATTCGAGTCCCAAAGCCTCGCAGGGTGCCCTGCTGAGTTTCCCAACCAGGTGACGTGAAGGATTCCCACACGAGAAGACGTTTTAGAGGGAAAATAAATAAATAAATACCAGCGAGACAGAGAAATGAAATAAATAAAAATAAAAGAGAGGGGGAAAGGAAGGGAGGAGGCGAAACATCTCAGGATGCGAATGGCAACTAATAAAAGTCTTGTTAAAGCTCAGGACTCATAGCGTCACCAGGTCTTTTACTTAGGAAGCCAAAGAGTTTTATTCCTAAATGAGTTAAAGAGCCATTTACCTCTGTCGTGTTCTATTCATCAAGCCACAAGTCGAGAGTCTCTAACATGAAACTATTTGTTTGCTTACACAACCAGCTGGGTGCAATTTCACGTCTGAGATATCTATCTGAAAGCGCCTCTCATTTATTATCCTTACTTGTCAGCGAATCCATTTTCCAACTTTTTTTTTTTTTTTCCTTCTTCATTGAGGGAAAGATCTGGGCTTAAATCCTCCCTTAAATATTTCAGCACCTTCCGCTTCT